CAACAAGGGCTGCCCCCTCAAGGAGCCCCCAAGAGTCACCGTCACCACAGACACTAGTCTGTCCGGATGGGGCGCTCATCTCCAGTCCCTTACAGCACAGGGCAGATGGTCAGCGACGGAGAAACTATGCAACATAAACTGGTTGGAGCTTCGCGCCGTCCATCTGGCCCTCCGCAGTTTCCTCCCCCAGGTACGTGGCCGCCACGTTCTCATCCTCACCGACAACATCACGGCCAAAGCCCACATCAAGCAGGGGGGCACTCAATCATTCTGCCTAATGAGGGAGGCCGAGCACCTCTGTCGGTGGGCGGAGTCTCATCTACATTCTCTCAGGGCGGACCACATCTCGGGCACCTCCAACACCCGAGCAGACTGGTTGAGCAGGGCCACCATAGACCAGTCGGAGTGGCGCCTCCACCCAGCTCTATTCAGGGAGGCGACATCCATCTTCGGGCCACCAGTGGTAGACCTGTTTGCCTCCCCCCTCAATACCCACCTTCCAAGGTTCATTTCAAGATTCCCATCCCCAGGGGGGGAGGACCACAACGCTCTTTGGTGTCCATGGCCTACGGGCCTCCTTTATGCCTTCCCTCCCCTGGCGCTGGTGCCCTTAGTCCTTCAGAAGGTCCTTCAAGAGAGGGCGGAACTGATTCTGGTAGCACCTTATTGGCCCCGTCGCCCTTGGTTCGCAGACCTCCGCAGCCTATCAGTAGCCCCCCCCCCCGGAGGATCCCAGCAGACAGAATCTCCCTGTCCCAAGGTCCCCTCCTCCACCCGAACCCCCAATGGCTTCAACTAGCCGTCTGGAGGTTGAGCGGGAACGTTTGAAGAGGGAAAACCTCTCTAACAAAGTCATCGATACCATTTTAGCAGCCAGGCGACCCTCAACTACAAGGATTTATGACGACACCTGGACCATTTTTCGTAAATGGTGTGTCAAGCTTCTTATTGACCCAACTAACCCCTCCATTGCCCAAGTGCTTGACTTTCTCCAGGAGGATCTCAGTAAGGGGCTGTCCCCCAACACGCTAAGACGGCAGGTAGCTGCCTTGTCTACAGTCATCTCCGGTGGAGAAGGCAGTTCCCTCTCTCACCATCCCCGTATTCGAGCCTTTCTGAAGGGGGCCACAAATTTGCGTCCTCCGGCCCTTCACCAGTATCCAACCTGGGACCTCAACAGGGTCCTTACCTCCCTCACAAAGCCACCCTTCGAACCCTTAAGAGAGGTTTCGCTTCAGTTCCTATCCTATAAAGTAGTTTTCCTGGTAACGATCACTTCAGCCCGTAGGATATCAGAGATCGCCGCACTGTCTGTTAGGAAAGACCTTTGCGTCTTCCACCCCAACCGGGTGGTCCTCCGGCTTGACCCTTCCTTCTTGCCCAAGATTAATTCGGTCTTCCATAGGGCTCAAGAACTTATTCTTCCCAACTTTTGCCCCAGGCCAACTCATGAAAGGGAGAGACTCTGGCACACTCTGGACGTCAGACGTGCCTTGCGGATTTACATTAAACGTACTGAGACCTTCTGTAAGTCCGAAGCCCTGTTTGTATCCTTCCAACCAAAGTCACAGGGGCTCAATGCTCCCCCAACCACTATAGGGCGTTGGATAAGGGCGGCCATTGCCAAAGCATATCAGGCTCAGGCTCTCCAGGTGCCCAGGGGTATTACGGCTCATTCCACTAGGAGCGCGGCTACGTCAGCTGCCTGGGCTACCCAGGCTCCAATAATCTACATTTGCCAGGCAGCAACGTGGGCTTCCCCGTCACCCTTTATTCGGCATTATAGGATTGACAGATATCCCTCCGCTGAGGCTTCCTTCGGTAGAAGTCTAGTCAGATGAGAGCACGAATTCCTGTTTCCTCTTGTCTTCATATAAACTGGGGGAACGCTCCAATGGAGTCACGTGACGGAAGGAGGAGCGTTCCTAAAGAATTAACTCAGCCTACAACAGCAGAAGACTGAAGCACTACCCACTCTCTGGATGATCCTCGCAGCTCCAAGAGAAATGGCGTGTCAGGTAAGAACCAACGCCCATTTTCATTCAGTTGTTGTTTTCTGAGAAGTCTCAGGTAGTATAATCTCTGCTGGGCCCTTTTGACCAGGGCTGCAATGTGAGCCCCCCAGGTCAGGTCCTCTTTTATAATAACACCCAGAAACTTAAAATTGGCCACTTGCTCCACTCGGTCTCCACTGATAAGCAAGGGCTGGATGTCTGATCTGTTCCTTCTATAATCCACTATAAGCTCCTTGGTCTTATTGGTGTTGAGAACCAAGTTATTGTCTCCACACCATGAAAGCAACTGGTCTACCTCATCTCAGGTAGGCAGACTCATCCCCCCCCCCCCGGAGATAAGTCCCACCACTGTTGTATCATCTACAAATTTAGCAATAGTATTACTAGCGTGAGTGGGAATGCAATCATGCACATAAAGAGTATAGAGTAAGGGAGTCAACACGCAACCCTGTGGTGCACCAGTGTTAAGAATAAGGGCTGAAGAGGTATGATTACCTAATGTGACCCTCTGTGAGCACCCAGACAGGAAATCCATAATCCAAAGGCAGATTGAATTAGAAAGCCCAAGGTCCAGAAGTTTAGACACTAATCTATGTGGAAGAACTGTGTTAAACGCAGAACTAAACTCCACAAAAAGCATCCTCGCATAGCCCCCTTGCTGTTCTAGATGAGTCAGTGTGAAGAGTGATGGCTATAGCGTCCTCTGTCGATCTATTTTTTTCTGTATGCAAACTGGTGTTTATCAAATGTATGCGGAAGACCAGAAATGATGTGCCGGCAGACCAATTTCTCAAAGCACTTAATGATGATAGGAGTGAGTGCCACTGGTCTGTAATCGTTGAGGTTATTGATAAGGAACTTCTTTGGCGGCAGAACAATGGTGGAAGCCTTCAAACAAAAATTAGACCTCTTGTCTAATTTGTCTAAAGGACAGTAGCAAAGTTTAACAGAGATACCTGACAAAAATTAGAAATTAATTAATATGTTTTAGCTTATTTGATATAATTTTTGAGTAATTTGCAAAATATCAACTGTAGCACGCACTGGTTTTATAAAGAAATTTAATGTAAAAATTATTCACTGAGAGTTTAGTTTAGTTTAGTTTACTTTATTGTCATTGCACCAAAATAAAATCAAACACCATCTTCAAACAAGATGGAATAGTGGACTGGGATAAAGACTGATTGAAAATCCTGGTAAAGACTCCAGCCAGCTGATCAGCCCAGTCTTTAAGCACTCGGCCAGAGATACCGTCAGGACCGGCAGCCTTTCTAGGGTCCACAGCCCTCAGAATGCTTCTCACCTCCTGTTCCTCCACAATGAGGTGGGGGCTACAATTGGCTGGTGGTTGTATTTTATCTGTCTCTGATGTCTCCACTTCAAAGTGAGCAAAGAAATGATTCAGTTCCTCTGCCAATGAAGCATCCCCCTCAGCAGGGATGACATTGGTTGGTTAATGGTTTGTAATTTGCTGAATCCCTCGCCACACCTGCCTCATGTTATTGCTATAAAAATTATCCTCAATCTTCCTCTTATAATCAGTCTTGGCCTTCCGAATACCTTTCTTCAGATTAGCTCTGGCAACACTGTATCTTGCCCCATCACCGGACCTAAAGGCCTTGGTCATGTCACGCAAGAGGCGCTGGACTTCCTTGGTCATCCAGGGTTTCCTGATTGGGATAGATCCTAATACATTTATCCACAGTGATAGTATCTGTGCAGTGTTTGATATAGCACAGAATAATTGCAGTGTGCACCTCTAGGTCAGGGTGGTAAAGATATCCCAATCTGTGTTCTCAAAACAATCCTGAAGTTGTTGGGAAGCATCTTCTGGCCAAGATTTCACTGTCTTTATTATAGGCAGAATCCGTCTCCTAAGAGGGATGTACGCGGGTGCTAAAAGCAGTGACATATGGTCTGATTGTCCCAAATGTGGTAATTGTATAACCTTATAGTTTGATATTGGTATATACTTTGTCCAATATGTTTGCTCCTCTAGACTTAACATGCTGATAGAATTTAGGGAGCACTGCTTTTAAATCAGCTTGATTAAAGTCCCCCGCTATGATATGCACAGCATCAGGATACTTATTCTGCTGATTACTAACAATGTTATACAAGAATCCCAAAGCTATGGTAGTGTTGGCATCAGGTGGGACATAGACTGCAGTAATCAAAACCACGCTGAATTCCCGTGGGAGATATATGGTCTACGTTTTAGAGTCATATACTCCAGATCCATGGAGCAGTGGCTGTCTACAGTCTTTGTATTGATACACCAGCTTTTGTTCACATAAAGGCTTAAACCTCCCTCTTTGCTCTTGCCAGAATCTCTACTCCTGTCCTGTCGGTGAGCTATGTAGCCTTCCAGCTCAACAGCTGCATCTGGAATGAGTGAAGCCAAGTTTCTGTGATTAGCAAAACACAGCAGTTCTTGATGAATTTAGTCTTTGCAATCTGTAGCCTTAATTCATCCATTTTGTTAGTCAGAGATCTTGCATTGGTAAGAAATATACTTGGAATTGAAGGCTTGTGTGGAAACTTACTCAACCTAAAGAAAACCCCAGCACGGCATCCTCTCTTCCTATTCCTGTTCCTCTTTCTCCGCCTCTTCCTTCTTCCTACAGGGATAGTGATCCATGACTCCCCCCAGGGGCCTTAGCTGCCTCCTTCGGTATGTTATGAGAATGTATAAAATCGTCCGTAATAGCCTTTTCACATTTCAGTCCAATTTGTAACAAGGCTTTAAAGAGGAATTGCTAGAAGGCACAGGTATAATGCCTATCATCCCTGCTGAATAAGTAGATTGTAATAAAACAAGGATTCCTGAAAATAAGAGATATTATTAGCTTAGTCTCCCTATTGAATATGAGGGACCTTCTTCCAAAGTTCATTTCACTCAGCAAGATTTTCCATTCTGTGTAGCTTTTTAGGCAGTATCAATTCCAGCATTAGTTCTTGAATATGTATTCCTTTTTTTTAAAGCCATATCCAGAAGATCCAGCAGTATACAAGCCACTCTCCCAAGAAGAGCTGCAGAGGATAAAAAACGAAAAGAAGCAGAAACAAAATGAGAGAAAACAGAAGATATCAGAGAATCGTAAGCATCTGGCCAGTGTACGGGTTGTACAGAAGAACCTTGTTTTTGTAGTAGGTTTATCACAGCGTCTAGCAGATCCAGAGGTAAGCTGTTTCTAACAGTGCACCTTTCATTTCTCTAGTATATTCTTTTTTTAAATGTATGGTTTTCAATCTGTAAACAGAATTTTAAAAGAAGTGTCCAAATATGACAAAAACAAGAAAGGAAAAAAGGAAAGAAAGAACTGTAAATCTAAAAAAAAGCATATGTGGCTTAAAATGGATGGAAAACATGATTACTTTCTATGTATGAACTGAACTTTTATTGAAATTGTTTTATTGAAATTGGGAAGTTGTGAACAATATTACTCCATGTTATCAAGATTTTATTTATTAAGACTTGAGCTTCTGAGAATATCTGTATTCTGAATTTTGCATTGTATCTTAAGTATGTTAAGGTTACCAAATAAGATTATTATTCTGCACTTTTCTGAAGTATTTAATACAATAGCCATGTATTGTTGTTTTTAATGTTGAGTTGCCTGATACTTAACATCATTTTATCTTTCCTGGAGCCAAATTTAAGAGATATTTCCAAAGCCAATACAAATAACTTCAAATTTATCTTAAACAATGGTATGAGTTTATAAAAAACTTGCAATTATAAAATTTATTTTTGTTATGTTATCCTATACAGGTTTTGAAAAGGCCAGAATATTTTGGAAAATTTGGTAAAATACACAAAGTTGTCATCAATAATAGCACATCATATGCAGGCTCACAGGTAAGATATTGTTCTGTATCTCTGAGGGAAAGGAGCAAACTCAATATTTCTGTGGAATGTAAAGAGCTATGTGTTGGTATACAATTGCTTATATTTTACTTAGTGATGTAATAACTAAAATTCAGTCAAATACACAACCTAGATTACTACAATATGATTTAAGAGGATTCTCAAATTATGGGCATTGTATAAGAATAGTTACAGACTTCTACTTATTTTAACTCGGTTAATGAATTAAATGATTTTATATCGATACATATGTTCATATTCCACATTGAAGTGTGTAGCAATCACCATTGTTTAGTCAATACAGTCATTAATATACTAAATTTATAGATTGTGCAGAAATGGATAGACTGCCATTGAAAATTAAACAGAAAGAAGACACAGAATATTGTCCAGTATGGAACTTATCATTTTACCAATGATTGGAAAAAAGGGGTGGAGATTAAGAATGTAATCTGTATTGTTAAGGAAATTAAGCATCCAGACAACATGATGTTTATTAAGCACTAATAAATGTAAATTGAAAAAACAAAAACAAAAATACTAAATTTATTTTACATATTCTAATAAGAAAGTAATTGTTTTTAATTTTCCTCTCAGAATAATATATTGAGGAAAGGTATGCTAATGCCATATTGATACTCAGATAGTTTTATCTCAGAGTATATTACTTGGTAGGATTGTGCAGTGTTCAAAATTCAACAACTTTATGGTACACTTATTTCCCATTGAACTGCACAATTGCATTATTTTGAACAATTTATTTTAAATGCTAAAGGAACAAATAGAATCCTCAGGAAACAAGTAAACCCAGCTGTATAATAGAGATTTTGGATAATTATGGTGTTGGCATTTTCCTGACTGTCCTACGAAATTAGATTAAAAAATAGGTAGCAATAGTAGCACACAAATCTGATATTTACTAGTTCAAATATCTCTTTAGTCATAAAGTTAAAGGTGAATTTTAAGAAATTACTGTTTTTCCATAAAACATTTTTTATGATTTTAGATGATTTGGTCTGTTGAATACATTTACACCTATGTGCAATGCTTTGAAACAATAAATTAATTTTATTCTTAAAATTTGCAATTTTGTCACATTTTAAACACTTTGTATCTGTGTAATGAAGCAGAAATAGATTTTAAGATGTTTCTTACCAGCAAGAATATTAATAAGTACTTAAGATGATTAATAACTTTATTAATAAGATTTATTTTTACATTGAGTTTAATTGTGCATTAATCGTACATTGCAGTCCTAATTATTACTAATTTTAAAGTAAATAGTAATTTTGAAAACTTTATCTGGACTTATTTTTATAAAGTTTTATAAGTTAAGTCTTACATTTAGCTTACAACTTTATAAAATTTTAAGTACTTAAGGATCTGACTTGTAATTTTCTTAAAAAATCTAGGGTCCAAGTGCAAGTGCATATGTAACATATATCCGGTCAGAAGATGCACTCAGAGCTATACAATGCGTTAATAATGTGGTAGTAGATGGAAGAACACTTAAGGTAATGTTAACAAATATTTTATAACTTTAGCATTTGCATCTGTATAAGAATTTACCAGATTTATCCAACGGAAAGACAAAGGAAGGGTTCTCTTACATTTGGCAGATAGACAGGCACTGTTGAAGGAAAAACTAATGGGTGGAAGATGCATATATCTAGTTGAAAATACTGTGAACCAGTTGCCTGAAGACTCAGGTGAGGAAAAGAAGGTATTCATATTGCTTTTGCCTTGTTGAGGCATAGATTTTTTCAGAATCTCCACTCTAGATGCAATGACTTTTTGTTCATCTCTCCCATTTCCTGCCTAATTGTGAACATTTACTGGAGAACTGGGGATGTGATGAATGTACGTTTATACCACGTCAACTTAAATGGGAATAGACTATTGTAGGATTGATGATTGACAGGAACCAAAAATCTTTTTCATGCTTATCTGGAAGTAACAGCCATTGAATGAATGAGACAGCTGCCTAGAGTCTCTTGGTTGAGTTGGGCTATAGAAATTGAATAAATAAATTCTTCAGAATAACATGCATATTTGGTAAGCTCAGTACAAGTAGTACTTATTTAATGACCTCTACTGGGATCAGCAACTCTTTATCACTAAGAAAGTAAGTATAGTTCATGTAAAGTGTTTTTCTTCTTTAACATATATATGGACATAATGATATTTAACATTAAACATTTATTAATGGTGATATAATTGAACAAAAAACCCTGAGAAATTGGCTTTGCATTGATTTATTCAACAAAAAAGTAACATGACATTTCCTTCTTTCCTTATGAAGGCAAATCTACTTCTGCAGTATATTGTTTGTTATCTTTGAAAAAAAATTTTTTTGACACACTATATCTTTCATCAGGCATCTTTAGGAACCACAAAGTACTGCAGTTATTTTCTGAAGAACATGCAGTGTCCAAAGCCAGACTGTATGTACCTACATGAATTAGGGGATGAAGCAGCCAGTTTCACAAAAGAAGAAATGCAGGTAGGTATTTTGAAGGTTAATGTTTTTGTCCTAAGCCACTCCTTTCTTCAAAAATTGATCCCATATGGCAAAACAGGTCTCCCCCCTCTCCCCTCCCCAATCAAAATTGCTGATAAAGTCAAGGTTAAGAAAGAGTGAGCTATAAAGCAGAATTATAAAATGAGCTGTTAAGCACTATAATGCACTAAAGGCTATAAGTACAATTCTCACAACATAATATAGCTGTTTTAAGAAGTTATAAGTAGGTTTACATTTGCAGTTCCAGGAGAATCTCTAAATAACTTTTTGGAAAAGAATCCAAAGCACTGCCCCTGTAGATTAAATAAATAAAATAGATAATCAAATCTTCTGAAATGTGAAAGATTTACCTGAAATTATCAATAAGTTGAATGAGACTATTAATGGGTTGTAATACTTTTGTATGAAAGCTCTGAAATTGTGAGATTTTGGACAATATCACTAAAATGTAATTGTGTGATGGCCCAAAAATTCTGTCCCCTCCTCCTCACCCCATCTTTTTTTATTACTAATCTCTTGGCTGTTGTCAGTTGATCCTGAAAGGCAAAAACTCTCCAACACTTTATTGTCAAAATTAAATAGTATATGAGTGCTTTTTTGCTAGCATAAAACTGATCAAACCGGGTATGTCAAATTAAATCAGTAACTCAATAAAATCTGAATTAAATCACATGAGAGAGACGATGGTTTTGTGGTGTATTTGGTCTTACAAAATTAAAATTTCCTAAAAGCTGAATTTTTTTTAGCCTTAAAGGTATTGGTCAAAATATATATTGATGAAAAATAAATTTGACATTTAAATATTTTATGCTAGAAATGATAGAGCACATTAATTGGGCAGAAAAGTTATATATCCATTTTTCAAAAATTATGTAAGGATCTTCGCAATAGTTAACATCAATTGAAACTTGAATAGCAAACCTTATTTTTCAAATCAAAATTAGTATTCCCACTAAATCAGCATAACCTGTTATATAGCATAATTTATATAGATGTAATGGAGTGGACTAAAATTTCAGCATACTAGTAAACTCTAATTCAGTTTGCAGGTAGTCCTCATTTAGCTACCATTTGCAGTTATGACAGTGATGAGAAAGTAATTTTGAAATCAGTTTACAATCTTTGCAGGAGTGTAAAGGAAAGGAAAAATAAGATAATAAAATAGTTATCGTTTCATTTAGAGAATGCTTTACTTAATGACCAAGTTGTCAGTGCTAAATGTGCTGACTAAAAAAGGACTGTTTGTGTAACAAACCAGATTTTCCATTTCTGACAATGATTTATAATGATTTGGCACTCTTGTACTATTTTATCCAATATAGATATTGATTTGGGAACTTGTGTGTATTGTGCAGTAGTATTTTGTGGAGATACTAGTATGTCATGGAATAAAATAAATGCTTTAATTGATCAGGGTTTTTTTTTACTTCTGACTTTTCTTTCACTTCAGGCTGGCAAGCATCAAGAATATGAACAGAAGTTACTCCAAGAGCTATACAAATTAAACCCCAACTTTCTCCAGTTGTCCACAAGTGTGGTTGACAAGAACAAAAACAAAGTGACTTCTCTACAGAGGTATGATGTGTAAGTACAGGTTCTCCATCAGAGTTTACTTGTTTTCCATCAAAACTCCTTTTCTTCTTGATCAATTTTACTTCATGACTTCGTAAATCAATATAGATGGAAATTATTCTTTTTGCGTTACTTCTATTTTTGATATAGATGTGTGGGATATTTTCAAACATATGTACATATGTGTATTAAATTTAAAATTGTTTTTAACAAAATTGCCTTTCTGTTGGCATATATACATTTACCTAGAATGTCATGGTCATAACCATGCTGATAGGTTTTTGGAGTATAATCTGAATTCATTTCAGTTTTGACTGATGTTCTGAATAATGTTTTATAAACTATTATTATGAAGTAGACCTGGTCTTCAATTTGGTAGTGCAAACTGAACAAATTGGTCAGACTTAGAAGAAGGTAATATTTCCGCAGAGCCTTTAAAAAATAAAATTAATCTTTATGTAAATTTTCTTACATTTGATACCTTATTCAAATTGTGTTTCTACATACTTTACATTATGTTGGTGATTTTTAGATTACAGTACTTGAGAGGAAGTGTATTCAAAATTCTCAGCATGGGTAATTCTCCAGCCGATGTTGTTTCAATAGTATCAGCTGTTACCAGCACTTTTCTTTGGTGTCAGTTCTAGTCAAGTGTCTTTTCTAAATGCACATAAAAGTTCAGATGACATCAAAATGTCTTCAAAGTGATCGTACTGAGTCTTCAGGTAGATGGAATACTTCAGGAAGCAAGTTTAAAGTAATGTTTTGGTTGTTTTGAAACTGTCCTTCAAGGGGCTTACAGTCCTGCTATTTAACAGTTTGTGGGTCTCTTACTTTTTAGGGTACTTTTGTCAAGTTAAAAGTTTCACTGATTATCTTAACATGGCTATATTGTTATTATTTAGAAACAAGTAATTTTATGCTTAGAAAGTATTGTATTAAAACATTTGTTAAGTATGTTTTTAATTAATAATCTAAAAGAAAGCAAAATTTGTTAATAGTATAATGATTGGATAGGGCTGGTGCAATAAATATCAGTAGTTGATGACTAGAGCAAATGGATGGTGATCAAGAATAAGTTCTTTTTTTAATGGCTTAGTAAAAATACTTTTCAAATAAACTTTCATATAGCAGGGTCTTATATTTCTTCGTCATTTTGTCCCATGTTGATTCAGAGGATTAACTTGAGAAATAATTAAAGGAACTTGGTGTTTAGGAAAGTTGATGAGATCTTAAGTTAAAAATGTATTAGGAAAATTTGTAATAAGTACAGTGTAGACTTTTCTTCTTAATCCAAGCAATTGATTTCAAGTGAACAGGACAATCAGCTTGATCTTTTTAATTTGAGTGTCTTGTTTGGATCATGTTCTATCTAGTTATACTCTATTTAATGTCTGTCTCAAAAGAAACATATATCGAAAGAAACATCAAGTGAGGTTCAAATTAAATTTTCTCACAAAATGAGTTGCATTATAAGAAAAGGAGAAATAACAGCATTGGATTCTGAAATGACAACAAATTTTGAGGTGGCCTGTCTCAACAAAGGAAGAGTCTAAAGCTTCATAATCATTCTTGCAAAATGATTTTGTGTGGAATTGACTGACATCAAAGTGGCATTTGTGATATATTTATTTGATCCAAATATAGATTCTCGCAGTTTATAGATTGCCTAAATTTTCTATGCTACCCAGCATTTAAGTCTTCACTATCAGACTTAAAAGAAAGCAAGCAGCATGAAAGTGAATCAAAAGAAATCCTAGAGTCTAGTAAGCTGTTCTTGGTAGCATATTTTTAAAAAGGACTGAGTTTAGCTCTTTAATTTATTTATCTTTGTATAAAAAAGAAGTGGTATTATGTGGCAGGCAAAGATGACCCTCTTCTCAAAATACCAATGTAATTTGTGCCAAATAATATTTCATGAAGATTTTTGATACATGTATATATTGTGGAAAAGTCTACAGAAATTGCCTGTTCTTCTGCAGAAAATGTCAAATTCCTACTTTCTGCTTAAGGTCTTTTTAGGAAGCCCATTTTATGAAAACTTTGCAGCAGTAGCAATTATAAATACATTCATCTAAAATAGATTTTTAGGTATCGATTTTTTCTGAACACTGCATTTTTGAGCAGAGATTAGCATAACTGGTAATAATTTCGGAGATTGTCATTCTCCATTTGAAAAACGGAACTGAAGCATTTATGCTGTTTTTATCTTCATCCGTTGCTGGAGAGGATAAAGGCACTAATAAAGAAAAACAGTGAATAGATCCCAAAAATGGAAAACAGTAAAAAAGTGTTTTGTTCCATTACCAGCTTACATAATTTTAAAATGCATAAGTACATATTCATATTGATTTCTTTTAAACCATTTTTGAGAACCTAGAACTTTCTATATTGCAAAAAAATGTAGCATAAACAGGTAGTCCTTAACGTACAACCACAATCGAGCCCAAAATTTGTGTTGCTAAGTGAAACATTTGTTAAGTGAGTTTTGTCCCATTTTACAACCTTTCTTGCCACAGCTGTTAAATACATGACTGCAGTTGTTAAGTTAGTAACACGGTTGTTAAGTGAATCTGGCTTCCTCATTGATTCTGTTGATCAGAAGGTTACAAAAGATGATCATATGACCCCGGGACACTGCAACTGTCATAAATATGAGCCCATTTCCAAGCATCTGAAGTTTGACTGCATGACCATGGGGATATTGCAATGGTCATAAGTGTGAAAAATGGTCATAAGTCACTTTTTTCAGTGCCGTAACTTTGAATGGTCACTAAATGAACTGTTGTAAGTTGAAGACTACATGTACACATATGTAACATGTAGTATAAGATTCTGAAATTTTTATTTTTTCATACAAATAGCACTTTCTAAAAGTAACAAGGAAAAACTACTGGGTCAACAAATAGAAGAAAACAGCTATAATCATGTTTCCTTTAATGTGAACAGAAGTTCATGTATTCCTATGGAAATTATCTAAATAGCTAAAGATGTTAATTCCTTTTCCATTCCAGAGAAGCCTAAATTTAGATGTGCATATTGGTAAAAGTGTTGGGGATTAAAAGATGAGAAGTAGTTAAAAGCAAGGTAGATTAGCTGAGGTTTATAATAATAATAATAATTAATACGTTCTAGAAGTATGTAGCCAGCACAGGGAAAATTCATATTGAGAGTGTAGGAATACAGTTTATCAGATGGAAGATGAACCATATTCAAGAAATAATAAAAAACAGACAATGTGAAGTCTTTGAGTATTCTAGATGTTGATGGTCAGAGTTGCCTAGACCATTACATATTCACAAATACAAATGTAATTTCTTTACCTGATGCAGCCCTTCCTCACTCTTACTTCTGTAGTGCTACATGCAGACACTACAATTGAGTTAACGATTTTCCTGTTCCTCAGCATCATTTAAGGAACAAGGAATAATTTCCCCAATGTTTCAGTTTTAAGATTTTCTCTATAACTTGAACTCTCTTTTACTTTCACCTCTTTCCAGACCCAACAGTAATAACAAAGATGCCTGGCCATCATTACAGAGTTCAAGTAAATCAGTCAACGGCTTAACAATGGAACACAGGAAAACGCCTCCTATTTTAGAAAATGGCACAGACACAGAACACATGACTCCAGATGGTCCAGATTCAGATTTCGGGTAATTGTGCTGCCTTTTATACTTCAGTTAGTTTTCTTTCTCTCTCACTTTTGTGGAGGGATGATTTTTTTCCAGCCTCTTATCTGGAGAGCTGAATTCAAATGCTGATAAAATTATAAATAAATATGGTTTCCCCAGTTCACTAGTTTATTCTTAATCCTAATGTGGGTGAAAAAAAACTGTTCATTATTCAATGAGCAGCTTTTCAGTAGATGCCTGTATAAAGGTAAGGGTTGCAAATGAGATGAAACATTTTCAAACAATTATTGACATCAGCATTCTAGGAAGGGATAATATCACAATTCAATAACAAACTTGAATTGCAGCGTAAGAACTCTGATTTCTGGTGACCTTTACTTAAGTGGTTTAAATATTTTGAACCAAATGTAAAAATAAAAATATTCACTAATATTATATTGGTATTACACAGATATGGCACTGTACTGAGTTGGATTAACTTTTCCCATTTCTAAAAGTTTCTAGATTTGTAATTAGTATTTTAAGAAATCTCTAGCGTCATGAATATTTTGTACGGGTTTTTATATCTTGGATTCAATGTGCATATTCTAAAGCAGGTTTATGTAGCTCAATTTGTATATTTCATGTTGCAGTAATACTGTGTAATAAGGAAACAAATAATATGAGGTCCAGTACACAAATTGCTCAATTAAGTTCCTAGTAATAGATGAACAGATGAAGTGCCTTTTATTTCAATAGTTACTCTTGCATTGAATGAATGCTTCACATCTAATGATGATATTTGAACAGTTCAGGATGCACCATTCTTGTAGAAGAATATATTTGTGACACCACTCTTCATTTTACAAAGCATTTTATGTTCTTTTACCCAAGTTTAATGTCCTACCCTGAAGCCAATAGTCTGTTTTACATTGTATTAATTGTAAATGAATAGGTAACTACTAAAATGGGTCATAAAATAGTATGGTAATGCTTTATGACTGTTAATTTATTTCATTTATAAGCATAGGAAATATATTGAAAATATTTTGAAAATCTAATGCGATTTCAACTGAGCAGGAACTTCACAACCATATATAAAATGAGGCTTTTCCTTCCTATCTTCCCATTGTATTATGGAGGTTATAGAAGCTAAATGGAAGGAAAAATGGCCTTGTTAATGTTTCGGTTTGAGAAAGAAAAAAATATATTTTGATAGATATTCAGCATTTCATCTAAATCAGGACTGTAGTTTCAGATATCAAGATTGCATGTAACCTATCAAAGGTTTCAGTATGGCCTGCCCAGCCCCCCCCTCCAAATATCAGTAAAAATTATAAAGTTTTAAGGAACAGAAGCCAAAATTATTAAATATTGGGATAAGTCATATTAAATTCCTCATAGTTGCATACCTCAGCTTTAATTGGTTCTAGGAACTTATTTGATAGTCAGAGATATACTTCTACTAGAATGAGAGATTAAGTTTATATTTGTAAGGAAAACTTGAATATTTAGGCAACTATTTATCAAGCCAACTTTTTCATGATTATATAATGGAATAAATTTCAACATTAAATCTTGAGTAACTGAAAAATACAATCTGTTCCAATTTAGTTTAAAACATCTTTAGAGAGTGTTAAATAACAGTTGGAAATGTAATATACACTTTTTATATCTTTTCCAGTGTACTCCTTTATATTAAATAAAATTCCAAGTTACCTTTTGTCTTCCTTTTTGTCAGTTAAGTATGGAATAATCATGTTACAACAAAGGTCGCTAAACCTGGGTAGTGTAATTGCTATTTCATTTTAAATAAAAAGTACAGGTAAAGGAGTCCCTGTGGGTTTATTCCACAGTTGTAGCTGACTTCAAAGGGCGTGGCTCATCTCTGTATTTTAAACCATTGAACCAGAACTGTCTAAAGATGTGTCTATGATCATATGGTCACCAGGACATCACGCCGCAGGGCAAAGCATACAGTGAAACATGGAATGCTGTTATCTTCCCACCTAAGTGATAACCTATTTATTTACTTGCATTTACATTCTTTTAAACTGCTAGGTTGTCAGCAGCTGAAGCAAGGGAACTCACTCTCACACAGTGGTAGGACTCAAACTGCTGTAGTAATATACCTTCTCCACTGTCTTAAGCACTTGAGCCATTGTGGTTTTTTTATTTTAAATAAATGCACTTGAAAATAAATACTACTGATTCTGTATGCACTTTATATAGCTATTCCTCAGCTTATGATCACAGTTGGGACTGGAATTTTGGTTGTTAAGTGATGCAGTTTTTATGCAAGTCATAATGTGGCCAGACCAGATTTTTACAACCAATTTTACTATGTTCATTGAGTGAATCACCATGGTTGTTAAGTGAATTGCACGGCTAGAAGAGTAGTGACTTTTGTTGCTCTAACTAGATTCAGTGAAAGCATAGGCTTGGGATATATAGGCGTACAAGCATTAAGACACTTTTTGAAATATAAAGTATTGTAGATTTAAGATTAGACTTCATTGTGAGAATAGTTTAGAAAGTTGTTTTATATTTCTGAGTGGGGTCTAGGTTTAGTGCCTCATTTAAATATTTTCATTTAAAAAATAAAAGATTATTATCATCTAACAGTTTAGATGATAAACTGTTCATCTAACAAAATCATCTAACAGTTTACAATTCTTAGATTAAATTTATTTTAATTTGAATATCAAAACTCAAAGTGTTAGAATCATGTTTGTTCGTTCGTTAATCAAATGTATATTACTGCCCATCTCAATGCAGGCAATTCTGGCTGGCACAAAACAAGTTTTAAAGAAATTTTTAAAAGACATGTTAGGAGTGGAAGGAATACACTACAAGTAAACTAGTTGTATCTGTTACATTAGGATGCTTTGCCAGTAATTAGAATTTATATCATATTTTAAAAGTACTAAAATCACTTTAGTGACAATTGGATACAAAATTAGCTAATTTCAAGAAAGACAGTTCGAATGCTGAGGTTTTTTGTTCTACTAATTAATACTTGTTGCTGTTCCTTCGTCTTCCCAATCTTCACATATTCCTTATAAAACTCCAGTTTAATATTGACCATATCACTTTCATCTATGAAATAGCTAATGCCATTCTTCAAAACAATATTAATAGTGAATATTGATCTGATTGTTTTCCATTCTAATTTTATATATTGCACTGTGTAATGATTAAATTATAGTTTTATTGTTCCCTTCCTCTTTAAATAGTTTTATTAGACCATAGGATTTTAAATGTTACCATTGCTATGTGTTGTTGCAGTGATATATCAGCAATTGTATATGATACATTCCAGCAAAAGAATTGAATTTTAGCAAAATTTAGTTTTTTAGAGCAGGGATCCTCAACCCTGGGGCACAGACCAATACCGGTCCATGACTTGTGAGGAACTGAACTATGCAAACGGTGGGCAAGCAAGCAAAGCTTCGTCTGCGCGTGCATGAGAATTAGGTTGTGTATTAAACCCCCTCTCCGAAACTGGTCCCTTGGGCTATTAGGGTTGGAGACCACTGATTTAGAGGAAGATCTAATTTATCTATTTTTCCCCAGTATTAACTTCATTCTAGTTCAACTCCTTCATTTTCTCTTTATTCTTCTAATAACTAATCTGAAAAGCTGTGTATATCAATGTCCAAAGGTGCTGTTCAGTAGGCAACTGGACTTTCTTGGTTTTTTTTTCCTTGAAAATGTTTCTCTTCTCATCCAATAAGCTTCTTTAGTTCACCAAATTCAGTTCTTGGATGAGAAGCAAAGTGTTTCAAAGAAAAAAAAACAGTTGCTTTTTGAAAAGCATCTTTGTGATAACCATGATTTGGATAATTGAGAATCTCCAGAGACTGTGTATATTAAAAATACTTTTCCTCCAATGGATTGCGTACAAATATTATTTCAGCAACAAAGTAACATGTTCTGGATTATATTGGTACTAGTATGTGTTTGGATCACTATCTTGTTTGAATAAATAAGTGATGAAAGAGGGGAGCTTTGTTACAGTTTAAAAAATATGGACATTTAAAATGTGTTTATTTAAATGTTTGTTTAAGAGAGAATAGTATAGTACATTACTATATTCAAATGCATGGTTAAAGCAGAACATTCCAAGACTTCTTTTGTCTGCCCTTCAGATAAAGACTAGGACACCAGAGTTATGAATGATAACACTACTTTTATTATAAGATTATGGCAATAGAATCTTATAAATCTGAGTGCATTTTCTCCCATTTTCCCTTTATCTTTATGATAACTAGGGAGGTTATGTTTGAGACACTTTCACAAATTACTTTTCTGTCCCAGACACAGATTTCATTTTTCTGACCGTTGCTTTGGTTGCAGTTCCCCACCAACTTCTCCAGATTATTACTATTACCCATTACATTGTTCTATTCTCAATAAGATTTATGGGAATCTGTATTGTTAGTAACTAATTTGTTACTTTATGGAAAATTTACTATTACCTGAATTACCTGGGTGATTTTAATTGTACTTGTGGCTTAAATTAGGTTCTAGTAATCATTGCTGCAGTTGATGTTACAATGTGAAGACAGTTGTTACTTTTGCCAGTTTATACGCTTTCATTGCTTATAATATATTACTTGTTAGGATTGCCAAGATTTTTTTTTGGTTAAGGACTCAGGCTTAAGTAATTTTCTTAGAACCTAGAAGATGAGAGAAATCACAGAATTTACACCAAATTAGGCCTTTACAGACTAGGATAGGTTTGTATTTATTTTAACATGTTCTATCATAATGTTTTCAAAATCTTTTATTCGGTTTGGATTAAAAATCTGTTAGTATTTAGGTTGTTGTACCACTGCCCTTATCAAACAAGCACTTCCAAATTCAAGTATTCCTTTAACTATTTTTGGAAATGTTAAATTCAAGTACATTTTTGGGTGCCAAATTCCTTTTCTTCAGTATTCATCTCGCATATTAGAATCACTATTTCTGACTAAGGTATTTTTTGAACAAAATTATATTTGAAGGCATTTATGCAATTTTGTGATCAAGATAGAGATGCATCCCATCTTCAAGTCACAAAACCACCTGAAGTTTTATTTTAATGTTAATTTATTAACATGTTAATTAATAATTGATAATAAGTTAATTTATTAACTTTAATACAATATGTCTAACCAGTGATATTCAGTATTATATCTCTTATCGATAGCTTCTACCAAATCAGTAATGTAGTAGGCTATGTACTATTCTTCTGCTGAACAGCCATGACAATGAATGTTGAAATCTTGGATTCTTATCAGTGTTTCCTGATAAATTTATTTGGATTAGTGGAAGAGCTCTATACAGGCAAATACGTGTAGATTAATTCAGTGGTGGTATGCTACCGGTTCGGCCCGATTCACCTGAACCAGTAGCCCCCCCCCCACACACACACAAAAGCATCCAAAGATCAGCTGAGAGGAGATAGAAGAGAAAAGCGCAGGATCAGCCCTCCCACCCACCCTTGCGCTTTTCTGTTCTTTCTCCTCTCAGCTGATTGGCGCTGCAGGTCTCAGCTGGTGTGTGGAAAGCTGCACACGCATGTTAAGTACGTACGTGATCACCAAACCGGTAATGGAACAGGTAGGATCCCACTGCTGGCTTAATTCCAGTTAAAAACACACATTCCAGCATGTGTACCTGACCTGATCTTTTTTGCTCGCTTGATTCTTTATAGTGCTTGATTCAGTATCTGCATTTGACCTACATGACTGTAACTCATTCAAGCCACTCTTCCCCTATTTTTTATGAATTACAGCATCATTTATGTATTGTATTGATCTTCCCTTGTTCTTTCTATTACAGTGGTTTTTATGGAGTAAATTTGGGAATAGCAGTTTTAAAATGCTCAGATTACTCGAGTATTCCAAATAACAATAGCACTTAGATTTATATACTGCTCCACAGTGATTTATAGTGGATTGAACTGTCAACATATTGCTCCGAACAATCTGGCTCCTTATTTTACCAATCTCAGAAGGATGGAGGCTGAGTCAACCTTTGAGTCTGTCAAGACTGAACTCCTGGCTATAGGCAGAGTTAGCCTGCAACATTGTATTCTAGCCATTGTGCCAGCATGGTGCTAGAATTGCTAGAAAGAGACATCACATTGAAAATATAGCTTTTCTGTTAAAATAAATGATTCAAAGAAACTTGGATTAATTTCAATTCCTCCTGCCTCTTCCAAACTAGCATGCTTTTAATCTGAATACCAGAGTCTCTTGAACATTACACATAAAACCATCAGTCTGAAATCAGGTGTTATCTCATTTATCAATCTTAAAGTCATACTGAGAGCTTTTCCATTCATTTATTTACTGGACTGATATCTCACCTTACATTCAAGAGATCAAGACAGCATAATAAAACTACTTTTCCCAAACAAAATTTGAGGTAGCCTGGGCTGAGAGACAATTATTAGCCCAATCCCTGGCAGTTTATGTGATTGAGAGGGGATTACAACCTGGGTCATTCCGTTCCTGATTTAATCTGTAGGTCACATTAAAAAAATGCAAATAAATTTCTGTTCTAATAATTACAGCTGGGATTGATTGCAGATAAGGTTTAAAAAATTAAGCAGGACAAGAAACAATGGGTGGATGCTAACCAAGGACACATGCAACATAGAACTAAGGAGAAATTTACTGACAGTTAAAACAATTAATTAGTGGAACAATTTAAAACAAGTTAAAAACATTGGAAGTTTTTAAGAAATTGGACAACCATTTGTCTGAAATGCTATAGGAATTTCTGCCTGAGCAGGCGGTCGGATTAGAAGACCTCCAAGGTCCTTTCCAATTTTGTTAATTTTTTGCAGGATATTTCTAATTGAATTTTTCATCTCATTAATGAAATTCAAAAGTAAAGCAAATATGCAAATACATATATAAATAGTTAGCAATAAACAATACAAAGTTCTCTTTAAAGTAGTAAAAGGTTTTAATTTTACTTCCTATAATTTACTCCATTAAACTGATTTTGTATCATTTTCCATTTGCTTAAGTATTGTTTCTTTTCTCTAGCTCTATTGACAAGCCATCAGATTCTCTCAGTATAGGAAATTGTGACAACTCACAACAGGTAAGATTCGAACAAGAGTGCTTCTGAATTTTGTAGCTGCATATTTTTGTAATTATAACTAATATGTGACAAAGAGAGACCTGCCTACATGTAAAATATATGTTTAATTTAAATTTACAGTAAATACAGTAGATTTTTTCTCAGCTGTCAAATTTTTAGAAATGATTTTAAAATATATACTACTGAAACTCTTGGGTCTGTTTGATTGTTTTTAACCTTTAATTGGGCAAAACTGTGCATCATCAGACAATTTTTAAATTTATATACCTCAAATGGACTAACTTACAGAATACATCCAAAATCCAGGATCTTTCTGTAGTATTGAACTTTGGCAAAGTTGTGACTGCATCAGTGCATTTCCATCAGTGCCTGTTTCCCAAGAAAAATTAATGAGGAAGCTGGCAAGAAGTTGGGAAATCACTTGTTTTGTTTTGTTTTTGTTTGGCCCACCAGTGATCATTCCTTTTCTCTGTTTAGGTAATATATCTGAAAAAAATGATCCAATAGGTCACGCTGGTTATCTAATATGCTGATAAAATTATCCTCTCTAATATTTTACATTTTATTTTACAGTTGTAGCATAGTTTACAAAACTGAATCTTATTTTGCCTAACCTTTTCCTCTCAGATATTAAATAGCGACACACCATCACCACCTCCCGGTTTATCAAAATCCAATTCAGTCATCCCAATCAATTCATCCAATCACAGTGCACGTTCTCCATTTGAAGGAGCTATAACAGAGTCACAGTCCCTCTTCTCAGACAACTTTCGACATCCCAACCCAATTCCAAGTGGACTCCCCCCATTTCCCAGCTCCCCACAGACGTCCAGTGACTGGCCCATGGCACCAGAGCCACAGAGTCTCTTCACATCAGGTAATATAGAATTGCTTTGTGAGGGAGATTGGTTTTTTTTTCTAAAAATGATAAATAAATAACTATAATATGTAGTATAAGAATTATTAATAAATATTTTCACATTGTAATTTGAAATAGTTTGGCTTATTTTCACTTTTAAAGTAAATCATGAATACTTAGCCATGGTAATACTTTTGTAAAGATTATCTGTGTGGATGATGATAAACTTTATTTAAAAAATGAACATTGTATCTTATATTAACAGATACTTTCTTAAAATAAAATTTCATATATTGTGTATGAATGCAGTATAATTTAACATCAGGATTAGTTAGAATATTTTCCTTACAATACAAACAGTGATTACAATACAGTGATCTTTTGTATTATTGCCTATAATTTATATATTATAGGCTTGTTACCTGGCTTTAATATATTTAAATATAAAACTCTGAGGAATCATGCCTCTATATTACAAATGTCAAACTCGATTGCGTATCGTGACATACCGTGTCTTTTTTGCCTTTGCGGAGCCTGGGTGGACCTGGCTTGGATGTAATGCATCTGGCCCACGAGCCGCCAGTTTGACACCCCTGCTCTATATGAACAACATTCACAAATTGATATAATACATGCATACATTTATTAGCTTAGAGGATTGATTTCAGGATACAGGTAGCCCTTGACTTACAACCAATTGTTTAGTCATGGTTCAAAGTTACAGTGGTACTAAAAAAAAGTGACTTATGGCTTTTTTTCATACTTACAACATTGCAGCATCCCCATGGTCATGTGAGCAAAATTTGGTCACATGGCAACTGACTGATGGTTGCAGTATCTGGCTCATATGATCACCTTTTGTGACCTTCTGACAAGCAAAGTCAAAATTCACTTAAAAACTGTGTCACTAACTTAACTGGCAAGAAAGGTCATAAAATGGAGCAAAATTCACTTAACTGTCTTGCTTAGACATAAATTTTTGGGCTCAATTGTTGTAAGTCAAGGACTGTCTACAACCTCAGCTGGTATGTTCCTTTGTTGAAAATTCACCCCATAATACAGTATTTCATTAGAGGCTGAAATTTAAAAAATAATAATTTATTTTAACAAATTTAAGATATTTGTGTTTTATCATGAAAATAATAAAGAGTCACTTCACAATAAAGACTTACTAATTTATTACCATCTAAACATTGGTAGATCATAGTCAAGTTGCATTTGATTAAGTGGACTGTGTCTTATATAATAGTAAATTGTTTATTCTTTAAAGACTCTTTGTTTTAATCTTGTTAAATATATATTTTCATAACTAATCAGAATAGAAACAACTAGAGTGATTTATTTTGCTATGTAATTTACTTTAGAATCTCTTATACATAACATGAAATAGTAGTTTATTTATCCTATATGTATGTGACAGGAAATAGAGATCATCCTTGCTTATTGATGGTCATTGGGACTAGGAACACCATCGATAAGTGATGTCCATAAAGCATGACATTACACAACTACATCAACTTATGATGGCAATTCTAGCAGTCTCAATTGCCATCATTAGAGAAATCCTACACTATTGTAGAATACCACATTATGTTATCACCATTTGCACCCTCCTGTCAGGTTCCCCATTGACCGTGCTTCTTGGAAGTCAGCAGTGAAAGTCACAAATTATTATTGTGACCATAGGACTCTGTGACATTGTAATAGTGAGCCAATTGCTCACCACCCAAATTGTATCGGTCATAAACCCCCCTTTTACAGTTCCATTGTCATTGGAATGGTTGCTGAATAAGTAGTAGTTAAATGACTACCTGTACAGCCATCTTTCTGCTCTTTCTGTTTAGCCTTGCATTTGTTTCTAAATATGTTACAACTATAATTCTGTATACCATAAACTAAGTCCTGCTAGTGTCAATGGAAAAATAAGTAATACTAAATACGTTATAGTTATGCAAATGACAAAAATGCCAACGTTCTCTTCATTTTGGGGAGTTACAAAAAAAATACTGTTTGAATCCAAATTTAAAAATTTTCATGCACAATAGGGATGAGGGTAAGAAAATAAATAAAAAACTTGTAAATAGTTTGATATAGGTGAATTGAGGAGGCATTTATCTCTCCTCTACTCCCTCCTCACTTCTCTTCAGAAACCATCCCAGTATCCTCCTCTACAGACTGGCAGGCAGCATTTGGATTTGGTTCATCCAAACAGCAAGAAGATGACTTGGGATTTGATCCCTTTGATATCACCCGCAAAGCCTTAGCAGACCTGATTGAGAAGGAACTGTCAGTTCAAGATCAACCGTCTCTTTCACCAACATCTCTTCAGAATCCTTCCTCACACACTACAACTGCCAAAGGGTCAGGATCTGGATTTCTGCATCCTGCTACACCCGCAAATGCCAATTCTCTCAATAGCACATTTTCAGTCTTGCCACAGAGGTTCCCACAATTTCAACAGCATCGTGCAGTTTATAATTCCTTCAGTTTTCCAGGCCAAGCAACTCGCTATCCATGGATGGCCTTCCCTCGCAATAACATCATGCACTTGAACCACACAGCAAATCCCTCTTCAAATAGTAATTTCTTGGACTTAAATCTCCCACCTCAACACAGCACAGGTCTAGGAGGGATTCCCATAGCAGGTAAGTGCCTTGAGTCAGGCAATACATTTGAGTTATATCTTCAGCTTTTCTAAACCAGGATAAGAAAAACTGGGAGTGGGAATTTATTTATTTGTTTTGTTTGTTTATTTATTTATTACACTTGGTAGACCACCCTAATTAGAAATATTCTAGGTGGTGCGTAACTTGGAGAAAATTGTTTTCATCCTGCCTATTAAAACATATTAAATCACAAAATACAATCAGAGGGTCACCTGCCATTGCACTCTAAGTGAAACTCATATTAAAATGAAATGATTTTCAGGACCTTCCAGAATACAAGGAGGCTTAGAACTAACTGTACTGCTGGGTTAATTAAGCATGTTCCATAATCTGGTGGGTACTACTGAGAAGGCCTGCCTTCCAGCCCATGACTTGATGTTTGTTACCGAATAGTGTTATAACTGGCATACTGGGAACATGTCTTTTTACAGAGAAATATTAAATTTGAATTTAGCCTTCTAATTATGAGCTTTATAAGAAAAGTGGAGTATTCCATGTCCAATATTTTGGAAGTTTTATAATTTGCTTTGACTTCTTAGTAATGCTGTAGAATTGATTTTTATTTATAGTTTGTGATATATTTCTACATCTAAACATTTGACCTGGCCTACTCATTATACCTGGAGAACATAATAGCAAATAAGTAGTCATATCATTGACATTTTCAGCATATGAACAATGAGATCTAATATTTGTTGAGATGGCAGAAACAACTGGTACAGAATGCTTTATGAATGTAATTACGGTATATAATGTCTGTACTGTACTGTTCAGTTTGACATTCAACCAGAAAATTAACTTAATTAAATTAATCCAGATTTTTATTTGTATATTTTTTACATTCCAAATTGCAGTGAAAATGTTGAAAATAGAGCACATTCTTCTACTTACGCGAAGTATGATTGGCAAATCATGATTTTATTGAATTCAGAACAAAATTTGGGAATATTTAAATCATAATTCATAATATTGCTTTTTTAAAAAGATATTTTGTGGACAGCAATCACATTCTGACTTAGGAGTAATATGACTTGGAGATAACATTTTATTTTTCTAAACTATTTATCATGAAAGTCTTGGTTTTCTTTCTGTATAAATATTTTAAAATAACTAGGAAAACTAACATTTTTACTTGATATCATTTTATCAGTAATTGAAACATTCACAAAAGTTTCAATTTTCCAGTAACTTTGTCTTCACTTGCTTTGTGTACAACAGGGGTGTCAAACTCAAGGCCTGCGGGGTGCTTAAATCTGGTGTGCGGGGCCAGCCTAGAAGTAGTAAAGGACTGGTCCACAGTGCCTCTTGGAGCCAAAACGCAGGGTGCGGGGGACCACATGTTCCGCCTCGTGTACATCCCCTGCACCCCTGAATGCTGCAGGAGGCATCTGTTCTATATTCCCCCTTCCAGCTAGCCCTACAATGCTGACCCGATCCTCAAAGAAATCCAGTTTGACACCCCTGGTCTACAAGTTCTTTGGTGCTTTAATTTCAGCTTTTAGCCCACCTCATTTTTAAAAATCAGAATCTACAGTCCATATAAAACATCTACACATCCCTGTTAAAATGCCTGGGTTTTGAGATGTAAAAAAAAAAAACCACACCAAAATAAATCACTTCAGATTTTTTCCCCATATTTAACATATAACATATAAGCTGTCCAATTCAATCGAAAAGCAAACTGAAATATTTTAAGGGAGAAAATAACAATAAAAAACTTACAATAACATGGTTTTATAAAGATGCACACCCTTAAACTAACAGTTTGTTGAAGCACCTTTTGATTTTGTGACAGCATTCAGTCTTTTGGGGTAAGATCCTATCAGCATGGCACATCTTGCCTTGAGAATCTTTGCCAAAGTAAAGGGTAAGATCCTTGAAAAAGTGCTGCAAATCTGCCAGATTACAAGGGTGTCTCCTGTGTAGAGCCTTCTTTGGGTCATCCCACAGATGTTCTATTGGATTCAGGTCTGGGCTCTGGCTGGTAAAACTTCCAGAACTTTGATCTTCTGGTGAAGCCATTCTTTTGTTGATTTGAAGTATTGGGTCATTGTTGTATTGAAAGATGAAATTCCTCTTCCACCTTCAGCATTTTAGCAGAGGCCTGAATGTTTTGTACCAAAATTGACTGATACTTGGAAGTATTCATGATTCTCTCCACCTTGATTAAAGCCCCAGTTCCAGCTGAAGAAAAGCAGCCCAAAGCATAATGTTGCCACTACCATGCTTCATTGTGGATATGATGTACTTTTGGTGATGCACAATGTTTTTTGACCAAATATACCTTTGGGAATTATGGCCAAAATATTCAACCTTGGTTTCTCCAGACAATCACCCATTTTCCTTCATGCTTTTATCAGACTGCATGTAGGGTTTGGAAAATATAGCTGAGCTTCGATATTTTTCTTTGTAAGAAAAGGCTTCATCTTGTCACCCTACCCCACAGTTCAGACATATGAACAATACAGGACATTGTTGCATGTAGTATATAACCAATATTTATAGAAATCCCTTCAACTCCTTTAATGCTACTATAGGCTTCTTAGCAGTCTGACAGATCAGTGTTCTCCTTGTTTTTTTCATAAATTTTGGAGAAATATCCAGTTCTTGGTCATGTCATATTTGTTCCATTTGTCGATGACTGTCTTCACTGTGTTCCATGGTACATCCAGGCCTTGGAAATTTTTTATACTCTTCTCTTGACTGATATATTCCAACAAAGAGCTTACAAAGCAACCTTTGATGCTTTGTAAGCTCTTTGCAGACCACAACTATTACTATAAGAGGTAATTGAGAAAATGTCACAAAACTCTTATGACTAGAACAACTGAACTTTATGTGGGTTTGATCAGTCACTTTAACTGGTGGCAGGTATGTACTAATTACTATTTAATATAATTTTAATAAGATTATTTAATTCAGAACACATTCACATCCCTACTTATAAGAGGATGTGCAAACTACTGCAACCACATTATTGTAACTGTCTCATCCCCCCCCCCCCAAAAAAAAAGATAGTTTCTCAACTGAATTGTGGAAAAAAATTCTGAAGTGATTTAATCTCGATTTAAATACATTTAAATGGTATTTTCATGGGTTGTGTAGACTTTTTATATCTACTGTATTTTATTTCAGTATCCAGAGTCTGTATTAACATTAAAAAGAAAAGATTCGTGGTTCCAGAGTGATTGCTGATTTTAATGAGAACCCTGTCCTTATGAAATATGATTTAGAAGGAAGGCCTGTTCCAAAAATAAACATCAGCTGAGTTGGAATAGGCTGTGTCTCAGTGTCACCAGTGGTATATTCAATCCTGAACTGGGCTGTATCTCACTTCAGTAATATTAAAGGCAAAGTTAGGAGAAAAGTGTTCTTATGGGGCACTATTCTATATATTCATTGATTGTCATTTGGACCTACAAAATTTATTGGGCCATTATTCCTCAAAATAAAAGTATTATATTTAAGAAGGTTGGATAATTCTAAATCAATTTAGCAACATAAATTTACATGTACTCTGTATTTTAAAACTGAATTTTTATATCCATTGTACAACCATATTTTCATTTGCCACCTGCCCAAATATACAAGTACAGTATATATGCGATTTTCCCACACGTTTAATCTTTCCCACAATAAACTGCATGTAATTGTTTTCTGCAGTGCTATATGTTTTGTATTATCTAAGATATAATTGGGAGATGACTATCAGCCTTGAAGTTGTTAGAGTTGTATCCACTTCTGAATCAGGGTGTATTCTAGCATTTCAATAATTTGATGTTCTTTGCTCCTGTCTGTAGTACTCCAGACTTCTTTTATTTGTGCATTCATTCCTTAATTTGTATTTTATTGTTTTAAAAAAACCAATAAAATGTGATTAGATACAAATCACTTACATTTAAAAAGTATTTCAATCTCTTTGTTATTCCCCAGTGCAAAATGTTAGAGATGCAGGTTTTTAAAAAATAGGTAAGCAAAGAATTGAACATTTTTTCACTATTGTTCATTAAGAACTGTTCCTATTCATTTTAACCAAGAAGAGACATTTACATTTTTCTTGTAGAATGTAAACTTTACGTTAGAGATTTAAAGGTTTATGTCAAGATTATACAATCTTAGATTCCAGTTAAAGTGATGATTTAGCCATAATAGATTTGATTCTTTGAAAAAAAGATGAGGAAAAAGTGGCATTCTGATCTAGTATACATTAATGTGTTTGACCACATTTATTCCAGGTTAGATAGGTGTGTTTGTTCACCAGAGAATTCATTCTCCTTGGATTTATGCTGATTTCCACGAGAAAGGGTAAAACTATGATGAATTGGACAGTAGACTATTTAATTTGTCTTTTTAAGGGCAGTTGCATCACTAGTTCTAATTCAAGTTCACCATAAAAATCTAATATTACATTTCATAATATATCTAGCGTGACTCTATGACAACTTCACGTGCTATGTTCGTTTGCTAATATATGCTTCATCAAGTTCATATTAAGGAACATGAGACCTACAGTTCATCTTTTGTAACAATTCATTTACTATCTGGGAAAATTAATTATAGTGAAAGTAGTTTTTCTATAGGAACAACAGATTCACAATATAGAGGATTTTTTTAAAAAATTACAGACTATTTGAGCTTCTAGCATGCTTTACTACTCTTACATAGTATTCATACCTCAGCTAAAAGGTTTTCAAAGCAGTTTTGAAAAGTAATAAAAAATAACTCATATTAATTACCATGAGTTACATTTCACTAATTTTAGTAAGTGAATTAAACTTGGTTTTATTGATTTAACTTTCAGTAATATGTACTTTAGGTATATGGTTTTTTTGATCCATACAGTTCCAAATACTTCACTCTTAGGAATGAATCTACATAAACAGTATGCTTTTTGACTTTGAGCAATTGTTCTCTTACTTAATTCATCTGTGGGTTTCCTTTTTCTTTCCTGCCTTTTTTCTTTCCAGTTCTCCTGTGAC